TTATTCGAGGATTTAATTTGAAGTTTTCAATATTTTAAAATTCTCAAGACAAGATTTACAGATTTGATTGACTGTGAAAATAATTCTGTGTCGTTTTATGAAGTTGTTATATCGAGATGCTACTTGAGCATCATTTGTTACGTACTGAAGTATTAGCATTATATAGAAAAACTAGAAATATTTTGATTTGATATTCGAGTAGATACTTCGTATTTCGAGTATGAGCATCTACTGAGTTTTATTTATATCAACCATTGTCAAAAAATTGATCGACCGTTGTTTCGACAGAACTTCCTTCGCACCAAAAGTATAATGAAACATATTCAGCATTTTCAAGTTGAGTCTTTTCTTCACACAATTTTGTGATGACCTAATCAACATTTACGATCAACACGTATACCACCTTGGATTGGTGCAGTGTAATACTAAAAATAACTGTATTGTATTCCCAAAATTATCTGTGAACATCGAGTAAGCCGTTCCATCAATTTTTTGGGGGGAGTAAATAACTATTCTTAACAATTTACCATGCTTACAATAATTTTAAAACGTCTGCAAGATCTCAAAGTATTCATTTCTGCAACTTGAGTTATTCTCTAAAATAAATTGACTGATCCCTACATTTTTTTGAGTCACTGTAAAAGCAAATCTAAAAAATATGAATGCAATGATAAATTACGAAAATATACTGATGATATTTTGCACATTTTAGATAGGATTTATTCGGCAAAATCTTGAGATGACATCATCAAGTTTTTGGGCTTGATAAACAGATATATTTAGATTAAAAACCTACCATGTCAAACGGTAACTTCAAAACGTCTGCAATATTTCAAAATTCAGTTTTGCAATTCTTGATTCAATCAATAAAATAAATTGACTCAGTGATTAATTTTTTTGAGACACCCCCTATAAGCAAAACTAAAAAATATGAATGGAATGATAAATCACAAGTATAGTCTCATCCTATTTTGGACATTTTAGATAGGATTCATTTGGCAAAATTTTGGGCTGACGCCATCAATTTTTTGGAGGGAATAAGTAAATATATTTTGAATAAAAATTTATTATGCTTATCATATGTTTAAAACATCTGCAAGATTTCAACGCATTCACTTTTGCAGATTCAAAATTAAATTGTAGGTGAAACGAAGTTCACAGGGTCAGCTAGTCATAAAATAAAACAAAACTAGCAAAAATAAATTGTATAACCGAGGAAATTGTCGAAATGACCTTAGACCAACGTTTAAGAAGTTGTTTAAGTAAAATGTAATAACTCAACTTTTTTCTTTCAAAATGGCAGCTTTTAAAAAATATATTTTTAAATTAACGACAAAATTAGCTTCCATAGTTTCTAGGGGTTATCTCCCTATCTGTCGGCCAATCGTAAATGTTTTCAACAAAAATTAACGTAGGTATCATCTTTAAACTTTAAGTGTACTTTAAGATCATCACAAAGATGTAAAAACTAACCAAAATCTATTTGTTTACGCTCACCAAAAAATGATGAAACCATCTCAATATTTTGTTACACTATAGTAGAATTAAAATTTGTAATTAATACTAACTAGAAACTATATAACAGTAAATTTTTTTACATCTGCAAAAACGCTAGTTTGTAGAAAGCAGAAGATATATTACACGTCTGAACATACCTGTAGTATTTGATTGTGTACTAAAAAAATGCCAATTTTATATCCACAAAAATTTTCTTGCCATTTGAAGTTAAAGACGGTGTCTAAAATCCTAAATGAGATGGCAGGTACAATCTCATGCCGGTGGTATACTTTGAAAATTTTAGTAAGTTTATATTTTATGTAGTTTGCAAATAACTTTTTTCTCATTTTCTCTCTAAGCTCTCAATTCTCTCAATTAAATAAGCCTCTATATTTCTACCGAAGGTAACTGACATGGTTCATTTTACACTCGTCACTATCCTTGCTATTGTGCCGTCCAACCCCTCATAATAGTGTTGTAACATTTTAGTGCATACACTCACATTTGGATCTACTTAATACATTTTTTGGATCTACTTAATACATTTTCTACTAATATATTTTAATTTTTGAAAAAAATAATTTTCACTTTTAAGCCCCAAGAGTGTATGTATCTTCAGTATTTTCAAAGTTTGAATTCGAAATAAAACAATAGTTACAAACGATGGTTTGGTCCTGGTTCAATAGAGAATATCACGATATATTATCAAAACAAACAGTTAGTACATCGACTATACACTCAGCAACGTATGCAGATCCATGCGTAGGTATGTGTCTCAGCCAGACAGAAAGTGGGTGGCTATGTTATTGACACAGACAGAACAGCAGTTCAGTGATTTCTGTGTATAAACTGTTTTTATGTATTATGTATCTAATTATATTTTCCTAATTCGTTACAGTTTTATCAAAATAATAAATTTGAATAACATAATGATGTGAAATCAGTTAATTGTGTTAATCTAAATGTGAATATGCAACCATAAAATAAGTCGACTGTCGTTCGAACAGTTCATATAGCTTTGGATGAACTATATAATTGAATATTTTTCAGTTTATTTAATGGTTACATTTACTTATTAAAAGTAGCTGGAATTCAAAAAGATGAGAAAATGTTTTTAAAATCAATATAAACCCATTACGTGAATTATCAAGAAGACGCCAAAATTTGGGATCTCAGATCATTTGACTTGGAAACAATAAATAGGTAGACAACATAACAACTTTTATCAAAATTTTTAGCGAAAAGCACTTTTGATTGATCGCTGATATTTCTTTTTACATTTGAAAAGTCGGCTTAGATAATTTTTTAAAAGTCAGATATGGAGTTGTCAGTTACGTGAACCAATTTCAACTTTTAACATAAAAAACTGGTGAAGCAAAATCTGTAGAAGTTTTGTTTTCGTACGATTAATTTAAAACTAAATGCTTCGTCATTACAGTTTTATTGAATTTATGGAAATTAATAGAACTTCCTCAAAAACTTGAATCGAATATATTCGCACACGACCTGGTGATTTCATAATATAAAAAAATAATTTAATAAGTATAAGTAAAACTGCTTCTTATGCTATTTTAGGTATCTGTTATAACAATTCTTATTACAAAATAGGAGTATTATAATATGAGATAGTGCTAAAGATAAAAATTTGTTTTGAAATATTTCGTCACGCCTCGAATTATGTTTCGTTAGTATTTCACCGGTTTTTCGTGTTTTTGTAAAATATTTATTTTTAATCTATATAATCAGTACACGCTATAACAAACTTTTAATAAGTTTTCAAGGTTTATATAACTTATAACCAACGGCGTGGGTGGAACTTCGGAGCATCGGTTATGCGTTAAATGTTTAATTAAGGTTAAAAGATCCGCATAGAAATTTGTTGTAAATGGCAAAGGCGTTAACATGCCAGCATTGTACTTAACATTGTGATAATAAGTTACTAAACAATAGGAGACAAGCCTAAAAGAACATTATTTTCAAGAATATTGAAGTTTATGGCAACTAAATCTATACATTTTTTAAGAAAAGTTACGATAAGGTGGTGAAATTGTGCCATTAATTCTAAATATATCAAGTTGTATCCGCATACAGTGAAATAAATTCAGAGAACAAGGGAAAATCAGATATAAATCCTCGAACAAATGAACCCTTTTTCATAATTTTAATATATTTAATGAAAATGAAAACTAAGAGATTTGTCTCAGTAAAATTAATGTTGAAAAACGTAAATTAAATTAACATAAGGTGATAGGTTAAAACACACCAACATTACAGTTTTTAACATGAACTGTTCTTTCAGAATTATGAGGTCAAAGAATTTAAATGTCAACAGCAAAACAAATATTATGCCAGGAGCAAAACTGAAATACAATAACATATATTTTATATATCCTTTGAAAATATGTCAGCCAAACAAGATTGGTCTTTGAATATAAAGTTTAAAAGAACAACGTTTCCTTCACCACTTATGTTTCGTAGACAGCATTTCAAAAAATCATATATCTGAAAATTTAACAACTTGAATAAAGACAGAATGCACATCAAAGGGGTATCACGCATATTAATCATTAACCTTGTATTCCGATTCATAAATTATACTTCTTGACATATATTTTTGAGTGTTCTAATAAGTCTCAAGGGAAAATATTTATAAAAGTGCAAATTAAACAACATATGTTTAATTTTAATATGTATCCTGTGTAAAAAATCTTTTGTAACTTCCTAGTATTTTGTAAATATTAGTTCTGTTATTTATTCTTCCGTTTTTAAGTATATAATTGGTTCCAAATATGTACATATATTTTTATTTATTTCTACCATTCAATTAAAAAAAATATCGATGTATGTTAAATTCCATTCTTACATTTGTTAATACATTTTTTTGTACAACTAAATTGCTTCTTCAAGTATTGAATCCACTATTCATAAATGAATTTTATAGATATATGTATATAAATATAAAAGGTCCATACATTTTAAAATTTCAGTTAGCTAATATAATTTCTTTTGTGACTAACTTTATTGAACATCATGTAAACTTAATTAGACAAAAAGCTTTTTAAGGGTTCAATTAATTGAAACAAAGTTCTAATTTTTACATAAAGAAAACTTAATTATTCAAATTTTGAACATTATTAAACATTCACGAACTTTTTGTGTCCACGATGTTTGCCAACTTCCATTTAAGACAAGCTAAGCTAAGCTTTTCTGTTTTTGTGGCTTGTAAAAATAATTTCTTCCCCATCGTAAAGAAGTCTTTCATTTAAGACTTTCCACGGCTCCTCACTTACTCAAAAGCATCTTTTTAAAAATCGATAAACTTATTTTCAGTAAACAAAAGAAACGTTCTTCTCTTTCATAACAGTTATTAATGGTTGAGTCAACGAGGAAAGCCTAATAACTACCAAATAAAAATCGCCTCCCTTAATAAGACACATCTGGAAGCGAAACCCTCTTTGTTTCCGACCTAATATAAATTGAAAAGTGATTGATGCAATACTGACCCTGCTCATCCTGGTGCTCAAGGTCGCATTCCGTATCCTGTTCCAATATGGTGGAGACCGTGTCAGTCCTGATGGTGGTCCTGATAGCAGGGCCCGACATCTTCGTGAACAGTTCTAAATGGTTCCTCGATAAGGGATAAACAACCCCGTTTTCAGCGTCCTCCTCAGGCACGTTACCCTCTGGCACGACTTCGTCATTATTGTTGTTGGTTTGTCGTTGCTCCACGTCTTCATAGCCATTCTGAAACACTCGCTCATGCAAATATTTCAAAATAACGCAGTTAAACAGACGTTCGGAAATTTGTTGCTGTGTCCTTTGTCCTTAGAACACGCTAAAAAAAGCCAACTGTTTCGGTTCAAAAACTGTTTTATTTATCGCAAACAGCTTTGCCAGAAAACTTATAGCAAATTTTCTACATGCTAACTATTCATTATAAGATGGATTAATATACTTTATTGGGGTTAATATTGTTTAATGTCAATTATCTGCATCTAAAGTTGGACAAACTTAAATTCTTATTACACAGTTTGACTGAATTTTGCACCTAAAAAACTACTTATTTGACAGTATTCAAAAATTATAAGCGTGATTTTACTAAAAATGAGATTCTAGTGGCATTTTAGTGAATGCTATAATACCCAAGTCATAATGCTAATAAATAATATGTCAAAGGTTAAATGTACAGCGAATACAAAGCCTAGTGTTCAGTTCACGCTTATATGGCGGCATATAAATTCCAGAAGCGCTGGATTTTATATGAAAATTTTCGCGACAGTATTGCTAACTCGTTCATACCTCTAATTTCCGACACAGTCGGTACATGGGTTCCGCACAATTTACCAGCGAATATTTATCATTCTGTTAAAATGTTACTTTTATGTATTAAAATCTGGTTATAAATTGCGATTTTTCTTGAATTTCCATATTTTTAAAATCACTCTTACATTTTTACTTCCTGAGCGTAAGAAGTATTGTGACATGGTCCACTTGGCGAATAGTTAATTTCGTGTTTTCTCGACGTTACTAGAATATCAAAAAGTAGATTTACCGTTTCCATCTGTCGTCTGTCGTGTATAAACGATTTTATTAAACTGTGCATTTCGTAAAACGTTAACCAAAATTTGTTTTAATTATCCTCACAGGAATCTTACAGGATGTTAATAGATGATTTGCATCTAGTGGGTTATAAAATTCATTATTAATTTGTCGTTTCAATTGACTTTTTGCTAATCTTTTATTAATCTGTTAATTAATTGTGTTGTCAAACTTTGAATCAAATTTTAACGTTTATTTCTTTAAATCACAAAGGATACGGAAACATGTGAGAGATGGATGAAAAAATAAATATATAAATATATAATAAATAATACAAATAAAAAAAAATTAAAGCTTATGCCTCCAAAAAACTGAATTTTTCGAAAGCGGCAAATTTTTTGGTCAAATTGTCCTCACGTAACTCTAGGTGAACACGCTGTATGGTAAATCAATACAAATAATGGTCACATGGCCTCACTATAGTCTATAATTGCTAGGGTTTTGAAGCTGTTATTTACGAGTGGGGATGTGAACGTCTGGATAGGGAGTAAATTTCCTTTAAAGATTCTATTTAGGTAACAAATTAATTTTTATTTAACTTCTTGATAGAATGTCTAAGTTTACTATTTTTTTATTCGAGTATTACAAAAGAAACACTGTATGTTCAAAACTTAATGAATAAGTCAATATACTTATTAAATGAAAAATAATTCATCTAATTTTCCCAAAATTGTGGAAGCACGTTACTATTTTTTAATCTACAGGATGATTCCGAACACTACTGCATAATTTTAATGACGAATTATATGACAAAAAATAAGTAAATAATTCTAACGAGAGCATGATCAGTCCCGGTTTTCAAAAAATCTTAAATTTCGCGAATGATTAAAATTACTTTCCACCGTGGTTAACTATTACAAAACAATTCCTCTACTTAACGCTTTGGGGGCCGTTCGTTCAATGTTTAGAAGTTACCAGAAAAATACGTAAAGTGGCATTTCCAAGGTAACTCAGACGTAAATATCAAGAAAACCATGTGTTTTTTTGAAGACATGGAGTAATTTTTTTACTAATAAAATTAAGATGGTGGAAAGCAGATTTGATAACGTAGCAAATTTAAAAATTCTGTACCTTCTCTATTTTTGAGAAATGATCATAGTTCTACTGGAACTTTTTACTTATTTTTTGCCATATAGTTCGCCATTATCATTATTGTTATTATCAGTATCATTAAAATTATACAGGAGTGCTTTGAATGTAAGCGTGATCATAAAAATAAAATTAGTAAAATTAACTTTAATAATTATTATAATTCTACGAAATTATAAATTTTTAAACTGGGCAGCAGTATAATTACTCCGAAATTATTTGAAACGGAAGGATATTTGTTAACAATCCCCTCTTCTCAATTATCACTTTCACAGTCAGCGGTCATCTTGTTTAAAAATTTTTACTCAAAAGACAGCATAATAATCAGACTTAGGCACAGCCGAAGTGATGGGCAATCAACCAGACAAATGTTAAAAACAACGGCCCGACAAACTTGGCTGGCCGACTGTGCAGTCTCAACCACGTCCCAACCTGAGTGGCGTTCGATGCAAATCAGGGTTGAACAGTTATTTTTAATTTTTAAAGCATTGTAACATTTAGGAGAACTCGTGTAACTGACGAAAATCGAGAAAAAGTAGTAATTGTCATTAAGAATTCTCGAAGTTGTAGACCACGAATGCAATAGCGCTGGCGATCGGACGACAATGATCATGACTTCCGCTATGCCTAAGTCTGATAATAATATACTCGTTATCGGTTGGTCGATTCGATTATTCTCAGTAATAATCTAATAATTAAAAAATACTATAGAAACGTTAGTACAAAATTTCAAATAAAATAGATATAGAAATATTACATATATGTAATTTTGAAATGCATAACATATTTAAGACTATAACAACAAAAATGTTTATTAACAAATTAAATACAAATATTAGCGAAATTGATCGAGTCACATTATATATACAGGTGATTCAAAAATGGCATTAACTCTATAACGCGTTGTTAAGAAGTGTTTATTCTGAGAAAAAAATAAATAAATCCTTGCCCCAAATGTAGAAGTTAAAAGTTTAATTTTTCTTTTAGATTTTTTACCATATTCATTAATAATATTGGGTACACAAAATGGATCGAACTTTCATTATTCAAAATAATTTTGGAAATATCATGTTTTACCTATAATTTTCTTCACCTTCACCTTATCATATTACAAAAAACTTAAAAATTGTTCAGAATAAATCTGAACTGGCGGTTAATTTTACTACCCGAGCATAAGCTAAGGAAGTACTATAATAGGGCCCTTTGGAAAAACGGCTACTTTCATGTTTTTCTAAGTTTCATAACCCCTATAGTAGGAAACAGTCGGTCTCACGTGTAGATCAGGTCCAAAATTTACAGTAGAAAATAAAAATTTAAAAATTTCAGAAAGTGACATACTCCTGCTGTTTTGTTTTATGAACCCGTTTTGAGTTTTTCCTTAGAGATCCATACTTTTAAAAAATCAAAATCAAAATACAACACGATTTTGCAACTTAACTTTAAAACTGCAAAAACAAATACTTTCAAATTTTGCAGATCAAAAAAATCAAAAGTAATCCGTTTGTCCGTCCAAAAAAATTGATGAGGTCATCTCAAAATTTTTCCTATAATATATCTTTTTTAAAATATGCAAAATATTATCAATCTATACTATTTGGGATTTATCAATGTTTTCATATTTTTTAGAAATACTTACACAGGGTGATTCAACAAAATTAGTGAGGACTTTTTTTATTGGTTAAATGAAGAATAAGAGCTCACCCCATTTCTCCTTAAAACTGAGTGTACACTAGTATTCGACGTATCCTTGCTAAAATGTTGGCGTCATTACAAAATTTTGTTAAGAAAAAGACACTTAAAATACACACGCATAGCATGCTTCTCTATCTGTACCTTCACAGTCCACACCTATCTCTTTTTAACTTATAGGGGTTATAATAAAAAAATAAAATTCGCAAAACTAATTTTTATAATTTTTCTAAGAAGCTGTATTTGTTCACCTGTACTTCAGGCACTATAAAATTCTGTCTAAATATGTAACTTTATACAAATTTTTGAAAATATCTACCTAAATCGATATTTGTTTTGTAAGTGGACATCACATTGACAAAGGAACTTTTTAATCATATTTTTTGAACTTAAACTTGTGCGCTTAATAATATACCGTTGAGTTAGTGCGCCATTTTTTAATCACTGTGTATAACTCTATTCGTCTGATAATTTGGAACTGGTATCTTATTTTTATTATGTTGCTGTGTTGTTTTGTATGATCGTGACTCGGCTATAATAGTATATTATACGCCAAGGTAGTGAAGACAAACATTATAAGCGTGAGGTCTTCACTACCGTGGCGTATATACTATTTTTTTCACTAGTAGCGCACTACAAAACACAAATTTGTAAAATTTTCATTTTATTAAAAGTAATAACATCACCTAACTAGGTTTTAATTTTTTTAGGAAATGTGTCAGACAGTGAACTATGTACCCCTCCCAAGATGCTGTTATGGCAGTCAACACTTTTATATTCCTCGTGAAGATAATTTCAAAAATGACATTCAGTAGAATCACATTTCTATTGAATCACTAGTGTAAAACCTATTGATTATTATAATGATTTTCAGATCCACCACTAATCTGCTAATGACCGGCATTCAGGCAAGACGTCTTGCATTACGCATTATTGTTAACTTCATCAAATTATGTTAATTCCCATCAGTATAGCGTGTCTACAGATAATTCATCCGCGCATCACCTAAACAGTGACTTACACTACTCTGATCTACTTGCACTAACCTACTCTGACTGATATAATCGGACTATTCGAGAAACTTACGAACAATGTGACATGTTTCTAACAAAACAGTTTTTTGAATCTTGACAGCTATTGAATCATTCAAAATTAAAGTTTTCAAATTCTCGAAAATTATAGGTTGGATACAATTAAAGGCAAACATTTTTTTAAATCTAGCATTGCCTTCATTTCTGTCGATAATTGTAGATATTTAGATTTTTTTTGTATTATGTTGCTCCTTGTATGAGCAGCAATTTCAATGAGAATCGCATCATTTGTGCCTTTCCCTATAAGTACAGTATATAGCGTGGTTTAATAAGTCTGTAAGTATTGTGCGATCTCAATATACATATATCGTGAATGTAGGTACCGAATACAAATATGTGGATTCAAGAGATGGAGATAAAATGTTAATAATTAGAATGCCGTATCTTGGTTAAGTTCAGAATTGTTACCAAGTCTTTGTGAACGATTTTAACTGCGATGTCATGTCTAGCTTTACAGTTTGTGCTAACACGCTACATGATAAACTTTTGTGCTGAATCGTTCCGGGTTTTTCTTTACAAAGTCGGCAATCATCATTTCTTTTTCGTGGATTTGAATACAGGGTGTTAGGAAATGCTTGCAACAAACTTTCAGAGCAAAGGCATTACAAAAAAGGGAATCTAAAATCTATGTACAACTTTTTTCAAAAATGTATAGTTTTTCTTTTAAATCGCCTTAAAAATAGGTATCACACCGTTTTGGAACTGCATGGAGGCCAATTTTTCAATAATACGTTCCATTATTAAAATTTCTATTGTTACTTAGCAACGAATTAGGAATGGCAATCTGCTTTCTATCTATCAAGGGAATCGTTAAAAAAAAGCATCGTTGCTTAGTTACCGAGATACACTAACATTGTTCAAATTGTTTCAAATATTATTGTTAGATTTATAACTGTCATTGTCAGTAATACTCATTGAGAAAAAATGCCAGAATACAGCATAGAAGAAATATGTAGACATGCATTTTGTTTATGGGGAGTGTGGAGGCAATGCTAGAGCTGCAGCAAGACGGTATGCTGAACGTTTTCCTGGGCGTCGACAACCGTATCGCGAAACCTTTTCAGCCGTGGATAGAAGGTTGCGGGAGACAGGATCAGTTTTACCTAAAAATCAGGAGATTGGACGAGGTCGAGATCCAGATATGGTCAACATTGAAGAGCACATTATCAATCGTGTTGAAGAAGACCCGTCAGCTAGTACGCGTGAAATTGCTCGAGAAGTAGGTGTTAGTCACTGGATTGTGTGGAGAACGCTACGAGAATCTCTTTTGTACCCGTACCACCTCCAGCGGGTCCAGAGTTTAAGTCCGAACGATTTCATTCCTAGACAAAACTTTTGCCGATGGGTAGTGAACAGCAATAATGAAACTCCCGGATTTCTTTCTTCCATACTGATGACAGATGAATGCTGTTTTACTAGGGATGGAATACTAAATTTTCATAATACTCACCGCTGGGCAGATGCCAATCCTCACGCGATTTACGAGACGCACTTTCAACAACGTTTTTCATTAAACATTTGGGCCGGAATAATAGGAATTTGCATTTGCCATTGTTATTGGAAGATGTACCTTTAGACATTCGACGAAGGATGTACATTATGCACGATGGTGCCCCTGCGCATTTTAGTTTACAAGTGCGACAATTCCTGACGAATGTTTATGGTGAGAGATGGATTGGAAGAGGTGGACCCATCGCTTGGCCACCCCGTTCTCCCGATCTTAACAGTTGTGATTACTACTTATGGGGTTATATGAAATCAATTGTTTATCGAACTCCAGTTAATAATTTAGAAGATTTAGAAGCAAGAGTTATGATGGCCGCAGAACGGATTCGAAACGATCCTGAAGAATTAAATAGAGTCAGTAACTCATTACTCAGGAGAGCAGAAGCTTGTATTCGTGCAAATGGTGCTCACTTCCAACATCTGCTTTAATTTGCTTGTTTTGTTTTTGCGTTTTTTGTTTTTTATTTTCGCTTATTCGTTTTGTTTGTTTATTATAATTAAAGGTTATTTTTCTTTGTGTTGAAAATTATATTTAACAAATTGGCTTAAATTTTAAAATCGTTGGAAGATTTTGAACAAAGTTTTTAACTTATACAATACATTTCTTGTATTTGTTTTTCCGCAAAACAAAAGTAGAATATAAATTTATTAAGAAAAGATAACTGCTGGACAATCGAAAAATAAAAAGATAATGTTGGACGTTGGAGTGCTAAGCTGTGTTTAACACCAATTTTTACCTGATTTTTGAGAATATTTCAACTGCTTAGACTATTTCTAGGATCTTTTTTTATTTCCTAATATTAAAAAAATTCTTAAAAACAAGAACAATTAGTATATGGTTAACCATTAAGAAGTAACAAAGAAAATACCTTAAGCGTTCTATGATTTCGGTACTCTAAGGGTACCTTTTTATTATCAATAATGAAATCACTTCCATTGCAAAGAGGATACTAAACGCAGTTTAAGATGAGGGAATTGGCAGGAAACCCGACAGTTATCGTACAAAGGGCAAATGCGTATAAAATGAGTTTTTCTGTCATTTCAGTAGTAAGTGTTCCTTGCTACGGTTCACTTTCGCGTACACGGCTTGCGCCGGGATTGTTTGCTGATCTTGTTCGTACGCAGGAGCCTCATGTACATTGTGTAAGTTCGGATTTTTACCTACAAGCGGCAAATTATTTTGTTGCAATTTTCATAACGAGTAGTATACGAACGATCAACAAGCGGAGTTAGTTGTCCTACATTCCCAACCGTTCCGCTGCTACATTAATGGACCACATTAGGCGAGTGATCAGACCGGACTCGGAAATATGGACCGACGAACTTAGGTCCTACAGACTCCTCCGAATCTTGGGTGGAGCGTCCTCATTTGTTCATCAAACAGTTAACCATAGTCGCTTTTTTCAAGATCGAACAACAGGGGTCTGTACTAATCAAGTCGAAGGGTAGTGAGGAGGATGAAAAGTTTTATCACGAGGTTGGGTGCCATGAGTTGTCCCTTTTTGCCGTAGTATTAGATCAACTGGGAGCGCTATTGCGCTGAGTTGACGAACTATTTCAACATTTCATTTACCACACTGCTGAATAGATAGATTTTCCTAATCTTTCTAGTGTTTTCCTTCGGGATTTTTTTCAGGGGAAAAACGCAAAACCCCTTCTTTCTGGTATCACTGCAAGTTTTCAGAGGCCGTTTGTGGTGTTTTCTGAAATTTCCGTTAACAACCGCGTTGGTACCCTTATTAGCGTGTCGGAACGGCGTCTATTTCGTTAAACGTCCGAATAAAACATTTTAAAACTCAAGGTGTTTATTGTATTGATGTAAATGTGACATTTTTGTCAATTTTTGACAAATTAGATTTAATCGTTTCTAAGGAAATAATCATTTTAGTTCCAGAATTTTCACAACTACCTTAGAAAAAAAAGACAACGTCGGCAGTTCTCAAAATGTGGGGACTGATTTTTCGATACGCTTTTTAGAAAAAACTATTAACCTTTGAAAAAAGTGTTATTAGCATTTTTTGTTGTTCTCTTCTTCAGGAGCCTACCTTCAAATTTTGTTGCAAGCATTCCCTAACACCCTGTATACATATTTTTCACTACTGGCTTTAGAAAGCAACCTTTTTTTAACGCTGGTCATATGAATATATGTGCTAAAACTTCTGGTCGTGTTAACAACTTTTCTAAAGTCGCGATCTTTTCTATAGAACCACTCCCTAGTGTAAATTTTCAAAATTTGTTTGGTGTAAGTGACCTTGACGGGTTTCTGGGGGACAACATATGTGTCAAAAATTTGACAGGTTGGATGGCCCCATTGTCAATGTAGATATTTTATTTTAATAAACAGATGAACAGAATATACAGTCTGCACGGGATACAGTGCGGCATAGCTGAGGGCAACCGAAACATTCGTGTTGTGCTAGTTTCGATTGCCATATCAACTACCGCTACCAACCGCGTTCGGCGTAAAGTACTAGATGACAGGGCTACCAACTTGACTTTTTATCGAGTGGTTCCGTAGAAATGACCGCTACTGTAGCATGTATTTTCAAGTGAAATTTGGCAAAATGTTAGACTAGTATTTTATAAATTAGTTTCATTTCATTATTGTTCTTTAAGCTTTGTTTTAGTTTCAATATGATCAATATGAGAGGACTGATAAAAACCTAGATATAAGAAAAAATCAGATTTTAAGATCTACACTGTATAATTTCAGAATTTTGCATGGCCAGAAATATGGAACTGAATCATAAAGCGTCTTTATAATGGATACACATAGTATATATATTTCTGTTTTATTTTCTAGCTTGTTCACAGATGTTGGAATCTATGACTAATTGCTCTTCGTAACTAAAGGATCCTTTAATACACCCTTTTTGTTCTTCGCTAATGAAAATCTTTAGGTTTTAGATATGTTACACCATGACATAAAAATTTTGAAAACGTGGATAAGTTAAAAAAGGACTATTTTAAGTGTTTTAGTTATTTGTACATAATTTTCTTTTCGTATTATATAACACGTATATGACGCGCGCTGGAATAGGATGTCGAGTTCGACACCGACACCGACACTGGCCTGAACTGAGTCTGAACATAGGCATGCAACGCCGCGCTATTTTATAATAATTAGATACTTATTTCTATATGATAAATAAATAAAAAAAGTATATTTTATAATAAACAATAATTGACAATACATGGATATTTACTTTAATTAACCCAATCACCATCATTAATCACCACTTCAAAAAATACAAATGCAACATATTTTTGGTTTGTATTATTTTTTAAGAGAAAATTAATGATCTCGCCGCGTATACGTGTTTAATTTGTACGTATAAATATTGACAACGCATAGTTAAAATTCCATCCGTGCGTCCCTGGGTCGATACACTCGTTTTTTTTTTATTTGTTTTTACGTTATTAATTCTATTGCAATAATCAGTTATAATAATATCACGACCTGACCTGACCGAAAATTCACAAACAGAACAGACGTGACAGCTTCAGTGCCACATCGTTTTCTGGAAAAAACTGATTATGAAATAAAGTATACTCAACAGTTTTTCCCTATTTTGATGTAATTATTACTACTCGTTGGTTTAGTGTTTTCAGAAACAGGGTGAAACGTATATACTAAGATAAGAATATCTTACCTGCAACTCTGGTACATTTCCGGTTAAAGTACTATAAGTACGCCCATGCGAGTCCACCCGGAGTTGTACTACAGCCAACGTGCTCACAGGCCACGTCTTGCTGTGATTCAAAGTCATATCGCAGTCGTTCTGTCATGTCTTCGACGAGCTTTTTGCCACGTTTCCGGAATTCGATGCTTTAGCTATTAGATTCTCTTTGATCGAACACAGAACGGCGTCATTTTTCATTTCTCAATTTAGTTTTTATCGGCTTCGGTGGAGTTTGTATTAAGTGTTGAGAGCTAGTTGCGATTTTGTCTTTGTTTTATTGCTAACATGAAGTCGGCCAACTCCGGTGTTAAGTGTGATGAATCGCTCAAGGGTTACACTCTTATACTTCTCAAGACTGCTTTACTGCATGTTTTTTAAAGTCCATGTTTTACTAGGTGTTGATTTAAACGGGGTGAAGTTTTCACAAAAGGTTGCTTATGAGGAATAAATGGGTCAACGTTTTTTGGAGTGATGAGATCTGGAACGAAAAAGTATAACACAGTAAATATATACCATACTGGAAAAACTGGTTTACTGACACTAAAACTTATAGAAATAAAGAAAGGAATCATGACAATTTTTTCTAATTTTTAAGCACAGCAATGGAAAATGGTTGAATAGAATATAGATTTAATTTCTAGATAAATGTTAAGATCTTAAAAATTAGAGCACAATGGAAAGAGCGAATTTAAGAGAAATAAACAAAATCTTAGTTATATTACACCACTGTGAAACAAACATAAGTTCAACTCTAAAATAAAAACTATTTGTGTGAAACATGGACTTCAAGCATAACATCCGTAGAAAAAATATTTAATATTATGTAAAAGGCCGATTCGAATAAAATTAATTACAAAAGAAAATTAGTTAGATGTAATAGTAGACGGGGCTCAACGTAGACGTTAAAAAAGAAATCCGAGGATAAATTCCTTCAATTATTCAAATAAATGAGACAAAAAAATATATGCAGAAGTATTCTGTAATGTTACTAAAGTCATTAAAATGAGAAACTCCAATTTCTCTTTTTAAAGTATGTTAATTTTAGATCACATTTAATCAATTGGATACATTTATTTTTAGCTCTTGCTGTGGTAAGGACACATGGTGAAAATATCTCACAAAATTTTTAATACTTTATTAACAACCTTAACAAGTATTCAGAATGATTCTAACAACAGTGGTTAATTTTTCACCTTTTTTAATCTATTTACCTAAACGGATATTTATTTTGTTTTGAAAGTAAATATTAAATTGACGTAAGCAATTTTTTAATCACTTTACTCGAAGTTTAACTTGTGAACTAAAAATCTACCATTCAGTTAGTGTCCCATTTTTGAATCATCCTTTATAATCCTGAAAAAAATTGATCGAAGGTTATTTCGAGAGGAATTTCCTTGGCTCTGAAGTACAGTTTAATAAATCTCACTGAAAAATTATAAAAATTGATTTTGAGATATATTATTTGTGATAATATCTACAGATAAAAAAGTGTAGATAATAACAGTAACAGTGTAAGAAAAAAAGAAAGGCTCAGAAGGAGGAATCGAACGCGCGACAGTTCTCGCTTTTAGGCAACGATTTTCGCATTCCAACGGAATCGTTGTGTTCACCGTCCCCTATTAAAAACTGTTACACAGTTGGGATTTTTCGAGAAAATTTTAAAGCATAGTGTAAAAGATCAAGGCGGATTCATAAACCACAAATACAAGAGTAAGGTATTCTATAGTTTGGAGTACTCGACGGTGACTTTATTTTTATTTCTAGTGCTACTGTAGCTAAGGAAGTATTGTAATAGGATCCATCGGCTGCTTTTGTGTTTTCTCGAGGTTTCATGAACATTCAAGTGCGACAACTTAGATTTCCCGTTTCCATCTGTCTGTCGTCATTGTCGATATTTATTAGTAAGAAACTACTGGACCGATTGTTGTCAAATTTTACATGTATCTTAGGAGTGCAGGTGGTAAAACGCTAACCAAAATTTGTCTGATCATCCCAACCAGCAGTTTCATAACGTCACCTTAAAATTTTGCATGGTAATTTCCTTTTATTAATAAAATAACATTTCCCTGTACTTGCAGTTTATGAATCCGCCTTCACATAAATTATATTTTGCCCTAAGCGTTCAGATTTTCGCAAAAAATTAAAATTGTACAGTTTCGGCGAGAAAATCTTGGGCAGTCATTTAAAAAACACGATGTAGTCTATGCTTTATTGTCAAAATGACTGACACTTTTAAAAAATGAACTCTGACATACGTCATCATCCACATTCTAGTCTACGTCAAAATGACTAACATGGCAAATTTGAGGTGATAAGCACGTAAAGCCTGTTTTAGAGCTTATGTCATTGGAATGACAGAACTGCCCAAGATTTGTGGCCGAAACTGTATTACAACATTTTGGATGAATATAAGACGTATTAGTTCATGCGGTTAGAGTGTACTGCTAATACCGCGGGTTAAATTCCCTCATGGGTCACTTTTTTCCTAGACTGTAAGTGGTATTATCTATAATTTCTTCTAACAAACTAGACTAGTTTAACTGTACTTCAGGGGCGATGGAAGTTCGGTCTAATAACATGAGACCATTTGTTTTTATATTTGATATTATAAATTTTTATGTTGCTTGCAAACAAAAACCTTGATATGAAGAAAAATACATACAGAGTGTTATTGGAAGGTACGTACAACAAAATGGACAGTTCTTCGCGGAGTCTAAGAAGTCGGAAAAACTTATTTTGTGTTATCAAAATTATAAGGGGAAAATGAACCCTTATCCAACCTTTTTAGACGCTACTGAAGGATAAATAGGTAAAATTAATTTATTTTAGTAAATCCTAGCAACTGTAACAATAAAACTTTTGTCAAGACTAAATGTTGCTATAGAAACGAAATATGATCTTTTTATCAGAGGCGTACAACGAATTTAGACACAAATTTTAATTATTTTTATCTCTAAAAGGAGAACACTTTTACCTCAACTTTTTTTAACTTTTAGCACCTATACTTCGAGACCAATTGGCGATTTTATTTTGTACGTACCTTTCAATAACAGGCCGTATAATAATAATATTAATAATAATAATAATTTATTTTCATGCTTCACTTCACATTACAAATACATGTAATAAGTTTGCAAACGTCAAAAATAAATACAGTTTTATACATAGTGAAAAGGACTATCACAATTTCACATATTAAAATAACAAAAATTTTACATACTGAAATAGCTAAAAAATTCCTCAAAAGAGTAGAAGGCTTCATTGCACAGCAAATCTTTATTAATGAATTTAAATTTATGTAAGTCCAGATTTTTATACTTAGTAAGTAACACATTGTACAAGTGAACTGCATGGTATTTATGTGCCACCTGTGTCCTTGTTAATCTCGTGGCTTCCAAATAAATTTTATCTTTGTTCCTTGTATCATGGTGATGGATATCAGTGTGAGCATTAAACTCTTTGATGTGTTTACTAATGTACAAAAGACATTGATAAATAAATAAACTAGGCAACGTCATGATTTTGAGTTTTTTAAATGCATCTCTGCAATCATCCCTGAATTTGAGACCACACATTATTCGAACTACACTTCTCTGGAGCGCAAACACTTCATGACGAATACTCGCGTGCCCCCAAAGTAACAAGCCAATAAAGAAACTGATATCTGTAAATTTCTTAACACTCTTAGATTATGAACTGTCGTTTGCGCCGTTACACTCACCCAAAGCAAGGAAACTTTGTAAAATTTTTGAAAGAAAAACCTTAAAATTTCTCAAAAGAATCCAATGCTGATAATATTTATTTACTGTTTATTCAAAAATTTAAAAACCACCACCTGTTGAATTAAGTTGGTCCCAAATTAAACTCCTCGAGGGTTTATTTTTACACTGACAAAAAACTTCATGTTTATTTTATTTTAACATTTTTGTCAAAATAACAACAAAAACAACATGTTTTGAATAAAAACCATTTAATAAGGAGAGAATAAACAAAACTGTGTCGAAACAATATCATTTATAAAAACGAATAAAACAACCAAAGACCAAATTGAAAGTCGTAGAAAAACACAAAATGAAAGATCCAAACATCAAAAATGTACCAAGTGGCATTTTTAAATTTCTGATCTAGCCACCCAAGAATTTATTGACCATTGATTTATTGACGAAACAAATTCGACAGAAAAGTAGGTCGTAACTTGAACTCGCGAAAATGACAACAAATCACGATTTACGGTTATATGTATTAAAACGCGAGATTTTAAGCAACTCACCACAACACAATTTGTATGTTCTAAGAGACCACTTACGTACTTTGGTGAAGTAGTGGCTAGCGAAAACTAGATCACTCGGTATTATTTCATCTGGTGAATGAAATAATACCGAGAATGAATTTTTAATAAAATATTGATGAACAGTAAATTTGAAAATTAGGACGCACATTAAAATATAAACTATAATTTATACTAATTCTACATTATTTGCCATCAGGGTCCACAATGCTCGAATAACCTTACCGATCAAGAAGAATTAAGATGCAGCAGAATTAAAGTGATTTTCCAAAGTAGTTACTTTTTTATAACAGTTTATTTTTTTAAATACATATCTTTTAAACACAGATGTGTAGTAACACTAACAATTTTTTTGCGAACATTAATTTACATATATTTAATTGAACAAAGCACTAAAACTATTGTAAAAAATTTGTTGCGAGTTAGCACAACACTTAACGACACCTCTGTGAAATCCTCAAGAGCCTCAAAGTCTGGTTTCAGCCAGTTCCAGCAATATTATATTAATGTGGCTGTATCAAAATTACTCCAAGTCATAATTGCTCGTGTATCACGTATTCCACTCTTGAAACTTTAATCCCTCATTGTCCTTAATTCTACTACTTCGACGCTAAGGATGCAACAGCGGTTTTTGTTTCCTTTAATTTATGTATGTTCTTAAAACTTCACGTCTTAATCCTACACCGCAACAAACGAAAAACCCTTCGCAAACATCTTATTTTCGTAAGAACCTACGCTATCAAAATTTCGTGATTTAGGCGTTTTTAATGTCCAAACACCCAATGAACGATATATTTCTTAAACGTGTCGAGTT